CCCCCCCCCCCCCGCCCCGCCGCCGAACTGAGTCTCCGCTCCAGGCCCCTCCGCACCCCAGGGTGCCACTGCCCACCCACTATCCACTCACGGTAGCACTGCTGGCCGTCAGTGCCCAGCTCGTAGCCAGTGTGGCAGATGCACGTGAAGGACCCACGGGTGTTGAGGCAGCCGTGGGCACACTGGGCCTGGCCTGTGGCGCATTCGTCCACATCTGCACGGGAGAGATCGAGGCGGAGGGCTCTGGGCTGCTGGCCTGGGAGGTGCGGCCCCCCGGGGGGGGCCTCAGTGTGGACGGGTCCCAATGGGGGTCAGGGCTCAGACCCAGGGCTCTCTCCCCACTTCCTGTTCCAAGGCTCCGTGACCGGGGCAGCCCACCGGAGCGTCCACGTTCTCGTCAACGGCACCCGGGGGCAGAACCACGCTCCCTCTCAGGGTGAGGAGGACACAGGTCTGGACCAGCAGCATCGGGCAAGGGGGTCCGTCTCCGAACCCACCTCCCTCAGCTGTGCTGTCCCAGTCCCCAAGCCCGGTCTCGGGCCCGCTGCAGGAGGGGCCTTTCCATGGCCTGCCTCTAGGGGCCCACGGACACCAGGGGCCATCATCGGCCTCTGCACCCACACACTGGCCATGAGGCCCAAATCCCGCTGTCCGATCTCCGACGCTGCTCTTGGCCGCACCCCTGAGGTTCCTTGGATGAAGCTGACCCTCACCCCGTGTCCCGCTGAGCCCGCCACAGCCCCCAGCACCCACAGCAGCCAGGGCAGCGGCGCCTAAAACACTCCGTCCTGGTGTTGGTGCTGTGGGGGCTCGCACCCCGCGGCACCGCCTCTCAGACCCCCACCTAGGACGCCTGGGAAACGGCCCCCGCCCGCCCTAGATGCACCCCAACAGCGACGGGGACATGCAAGACCCCTCCTCAGAGCTGCGTGTACAGGAAGGGCGCCCCCAGACTCCTGTGATGGGGTAATAAGCACCGCACCCCCGAAGCCAAGGACGAAGGCGCGCGTTCTAGAAAGCGGCGCCCCACTGGGATCTGGGACGATTCCAAGTGCGCGTGCTAACAAACAACCCGTAGAAACATCCAGAAGCCGGCCCCAGTGACGCTCCCTTCCTTCTCTTCGTGGCCTCCTCTGTTTCCCCGACGACCACGTACGACTAAGCGGATACAAGAACTACTGAGAAACAAGCTGAGATCTCCCACCTGCTTCTGCAGAAAGGAGACCCGGGCTCCTTGTCCCTCCCCGTGCCCCGCCCAAGGTCGGGTGCAGCGACGGCTGGGGCCCGGGCCTCCCCACAGCCGGCCCCAGGGTGGGGCCGGAGCACGGGGAGGGGCAGCTCACCTTCACAGGACCTGCGGTCGGCCTCCAGCAGGAAGCCCGCGTGGCACTCACAGTGGGCGAGGCCACGGCGTGCCTGGCACGTGTGCATGCAGCCGCCATTCCGGTCGGCGCAAGGGTTTCTCCCTGCGGTCACAGGCCCAGAGGGAAGATGGGGGCTCCAGCAGATCTGGGGTGCCCCAGGCCTCCCGTGAACCCCCCAAGTGCTCTTGTGCCTCTGGGCTCCAGTCTAACGGGCTCAGTGGGGGTCTCCCCTCTCCCAGATGTGGCAGCCCCCAAGACACCCCTGCAAAGACAGAGGGTGCCAGCCTCCCTCCTGAGCCTCCTCCTACTCGGAGCCAAGGTGCCCTGCAGCCCCCCAGCCCTGTGACCCCATGCCACTCTGCCCCCACTGCTCAGCCCCTCAGGCCCAGCCTCCCTCCTGGCCTGAGACCCATGAGACCAGGTGTGGACAAGTCCTCTCGGTACCTGCCCCATCCCAGCACCCCCCCGTTTCCACATCTTGGGGCCCCTGAGCCTGCCCCACCATCTCCATCAGCAAAGCTCCTCCTTCCATGACAGGAAGCCCCGAGACCCCAGGGCAAGATGCCAGGTGGGGCCCGGCCTGCGTCTCCCACCCAAGGGCCAGAGCCTGGGTCCCACATGCCCACACAAAGCCCAGGGCAGGCGTTAGAACTGAGAGACACGCAGGATGTCCTTCTTTGCCATCCCCCACATGCCCTATCCTGGGCTTCCTGTCCCCAACGGATGCAGGATCCCAGAGCACAGCCTAAGGGGCTCCCTCCCCCACACCCACCGGGGGCCCGACGGTGCCCCACCACCTCGGGGCAGCCACGTTGGCCCTGCCTCCCCTGAGCCCCGCTTCCAGCCCCAGAGGCCAAGCAGGGAGGCGAGCCCGGCCTAAGTCCCAGCAGCTGCCCTGGGCTCAGGCTCCGGGGTCCCTGGGTGGGTCTGGGGAGTCCTGGTGCGGGCCCCAGCCCCCCATGCCCTCTCCGAGGGCTGTCGGCACACTCACGGACACAGTGCTTTCCGTCCTCCTGGAGCTGGAACCCGGGGCGGCACAAGCAGCAGTGCTGGGTCACTGTGAGCTGGACACACTCATGTTGGCAGCCCCCGTTGCCCACAGCACAGGAGGTTATGGCTGGGGACACAGACAGGGGCTGTGCACGTAGCTCAGGACGACGACCCAGCCAGGGGGCCTACCCTCGTCGGGCTCGGCGCACCTCCCACAGAAACCCTCCAGGGCTCTCTGCGCCCCTCTCCCTTTCCATCTCCGTCCCAGAAGCAGGACTTGGAGAGGGGACACTGTGCCTATGGTGTTCACGGGCCTGGCTTCGCTTCTCGGCCCATACACAGGGTACACAGACCGTGACCCGCTTCCGGATCCTTGTCCCCAGCCTGCCTGAGGACCGGGTGTAGACAGGTGCTCCAGAGCCACCCCGCATCACCGAGAGCCAGCGCGTCCGGGGCCCAGAGGCCAGGCAGCCTGGGAGACTCCCGGAGGAGGCGGCAGGCCAGCCGCGGGTGGAGGGGGCCCAGACATTCCCACTCTCCTGTCGGGCCAGGGCCGGCATGGGCACGGGGCTGCCATGGAGGCCACCACGGCCCAGAGGCCTGGCCTCGCTCCTGTTGGAGCCCCCCGGGTGGGTTACGTGGGAGCAGGGGCAGCAGGCCTGGCAGCACCGAGGCCCAGCCACAGCATCCACACACACCAGGCGTGTGGTCACGGGGCTCCGAGGACGCCAGGACCACGCTGGTGCTCTTAGCGCCTTTCCAGGCAAGCACGTTTGAAAAATCCAAAACACAGCACTCGTGAGAGCACCCAGTTTCCTCACGTGAGGCGTAGGGTGGGGGAGCCCCTGCTGGGGGCCCTGGCCCTAGCAGGACACGCCCAGGCAGGACACGAGGGTGGCAGCGGCGGCTGGGTCTCCTGGCTGCACCCGCCACGTGCCCAGCGGAGCGGCAGAGACACAAGGCCTGGGCCCAACCAAGGCCGGCTGCCACATCTGCTGTCGCCCAGCCGCGAAGCCCCTTCCCCACCCAGCCACCCCCGAGTCTGCGCTGATCCCCCTGAGGCTCCGCTGACACGCTGTGCTTCAGCCAGCTCTGTCACTCGGACGTTTCCGAGCATGACCTGAGCACCGCCCGGTCCTGGGGCTGTTTGTGTCCACGGTCCAACTGCGTCCCTGCTGGAGGCTCGTGATGGGGACCAGAGCCCCTCCTGACAGGGTGGGACAGGCACACTGAGGGAGGGTCTTAGAGCCCAGGGCAGGGGAGCCGGCTGGACAGGGAGGAGGCCCCAGGAGGCCCCAGGGAGCTGTGGCAGAGCTGGCAAGGAGCCTCTCCTGCCAGGCAGAGCCCCCGAGTCGGGCCTGGGGACGATGAGGCACAGGGCCCGCTGCAGCGTGTGGGGGAGAAATCATGGGGGGGGGGCAGACAGAGGGAACCCGGACCCCAATCTCCTGCCACTTTGCTGCCTGGGTCCTAACGTTCCAGATGCTCCCAAGCTGTGTGCATGAGGGAGCCAAGCCCAGTGTCATCCTGTGCCATGGGTTCCCGGAAAGCTCAACGAGGCAGATCCTTCTCAGGCACTGGGCTGTGCAGCTCGGGGAGGGGCCGGCTTCGGTGTGGCCAGTGCCCAGAGCTGGTGGAGAAGGTTCCAGGCCCCTCGCGTCACTTCAAATCCTGGCCGTGGAATCCATGTCCCAGCCCGGGCGCTCCCGCAAATCAGGACCACGCTCAGACCGGAAGCAAAGCCGAGCGCCCAGCAGAAAACGGGAGGTTCTGGGGTGAGTGTTTGTGTCCCTCCAAGATTCACAGGCGCACCCCTAAAACTGAACCCCCAACGTGACTGTGCTCGGAGACAAAGCTTTTGTGGAGAAACTTAAGGTTATATGAGGTCATAAACTTGTGGCCCTGATCCAACAGAATCTGCGTCCTTATAAGAAGAGACGCGAGATCTCTGTCTCCCTGTGTCTCTCCCTCCATCCCAGGCCACGGGGAGAAGGGTCGCCAGGAAGGGGGCCCCCACCAGGACCCACACTGGCCGGCACCATGATCTGGAACTTCCTGCCTCCAGAGCTGCAAGAAAATAAATTTCTGCTCTTCAAGCCGACCGGAAGCGGGACTTGTTAAAGTGCCCGAGCTAACACACCCTCCCTCCCGGGTGTGCAAATTCCAGGACCCAGGGCTCCAGCCCTGACGGCGAGCGCGTTCTAGGAGCTGGCCTGCAACCCCGCCGTCCGCCAGCAGGGGCCGCCACCACCCAGGGGCCTCCCCGCGAGGCGTCCACTCCCAAAGGCGATGGGGTCCTACCTGAGCTGGAGACAGGACAACAGAAAACACATGTCCCTGGCGGGGGGGAGCCCTGCCTGTGCCCCAGGGTCTCTGCTCGTGCAGGCACAGGGGCAGCCCCGAGACCCGGGCACGGGTGTGGAGCGGGAGCCCAGGGCCAGGCGCATCCGAGGGCCGCGAGGAAGCAGCAGGTGGACGGCGGACAGCTGACCCCCAGCCGCTCTGCGGGCAAGGCAAAGGGCTGTGCCCTGGCTTCAGCGGGAGGGCAGCGCAGTCGGCAGCACGCCGAGCCCACCAGCCGGCTCTGCTGCAGCCTCCAAACCCAGCCCCGTGGTTTCCGGGCAGGCTCAGGGGTGGCTCTGGTTCCCACTGCCTTTACGCGGTTTGGTAATTACGGTCCTCGGACTGGCTTGGTTTCTAGGTCCCGAGAGCCTCCCACCACATGCGGTCAAGGCCACCCACACGGTCCTTCCTTCTGGAAAGCCCTCTGTTGGGGACAGGGCCAGCACGGCAGGGCAGAAAAGGCAATTCCCTCGGGCTCTGCCCGCCTCATCCCTCCAGGCATGGGCTGCCCGCTCCTCTGCCTTGTGCACGCTGTCCTGTCCCTCACCCTCGGCTGGGGCCCCCACGCTGCAGGCTCTGCAAGTGGCCGCCCTCACCCACGTGCCAGGGGCCGGACCAGCCTCATCACAGGCCACACACCCACCAGCCAGGGAGAGACAGCCACGACAGGGCCCCAGGACCCAGGCTGTGCCGACCGCCTGCCCAGCACCGCCCACCTCGGGGTAAAGCAAAGGCATGAACACCCCGCTGCTGTTCGCACAGTCCAGCCACCCAACCCCATCCCTGGCTCCAACCCTCCCTGCCGCACGGCCCCGTCTGCCCTTGCTTCCCCGCTGGGTGTCCGCTGCCCCTGGCGCCCCTGGGCTGGAGCGTGACCATCCCATCACCCCTGGGCGCTGGCTGACTGCACGGCTGGGCCCCTGGGCTTGGGCAAAGCAGAGACGTCCCAGGGGCGTCTCAGGGGTGGGGCCGCCCACAGGGCTGGGAAGGCACACTGCTTTCTCGTAGCTGCAGTCTGCTTCACGGTTTGGGGGGCACTGGGAACATTCTCAGAACTGCACGTGCAGCTTTGCAGGGAGGGGTATGGAGACAAGCCTGGAGATCTCTACCTTCCCGTTGCCTCTGGCTTTGGCACCAGCCCCAGATGCTGGGGCCTCCGGCAGGGCCAGGCGGCCTCCCTCGGGCCTCCCCTCGCTGCCCCCTCACTGGGAAACCCCCGGCCTGGCGGGGAAAGAGACTGCCCCGCGGCCCAGAGAAAGGGAGAGCTGGGGAGCCCCTCCCCCATGCAGTGGGCACCACAGGGCCCATGGGACTCCTAGGAGAGGGAACCAGGGTGGGGGCGTCCGGCCACTGGTGAAGGGGGGTGGGGAGTGCATGCTGACAGCAGAATCCTCCCCAACGGTTGGTGTTGTGGCAGGAGGCGGAGGGGAGTGAGTCCAAAAGGCCATAGGAGCAGAGGCCAAGGGGGGGGGAGGATGGAGAGCCCACCTCTTCCAAGTGGCTGGCCCAGGGCATCACACGGGACCCTCCACTGGTGGAGCCAGTGATACCGTGGTCCCTAATAGGGACCCCCTGGTGTACTGCTTGCTTAAGGGGACATGGAGAAGCATCCATGTCTAAGAGCAGGATCCAGAAGGGACCACAGGGCAGGTGTCCTGCAGGCTCAGAGCGCCCAGCTGCGCAGAGGAGGTGGGTTTCCCAGCACCAAGTGTTAAAGCACCCAGCGGCGGGTCTCTGTGGGTTTACAGGCTGGCGCTCTGCAAGATGTCACAGAGAAGCAAGAATGACCTTCCTAAACATGTCACCTAACCAAAGCACTCCCAGGCCCTACTGCCCCGAGTTGGAAAAGGAAAGAGGCCAGCTCCATGACCAGAGGGCGACAAGCAGGGCAGACTAACGCTGGGCCCTGTTCTTCTCACCCCAGAGGCTGGGGACACACCCAGGAAGGCTCCCTGGCAATGGAGTGCCCCATGATGCCAGGCCATTGCTGCTTCACTGGGGCCCAGGCTAAGTGGGTGGTGCTCAGGGGCCTTGGGCTGATGGCAAAATCCTTCTGGCAAATTCTCATTTTTAAGAATTGAAACCTTTCTGTGTTTTATTTCCACCAGATCTTCTGCAAAGGAGAAAGCTGTGCATTTCCTGTCCTCTCCCTGCCTTGGAGGCAAGTTCCACAAGTGTTTCACGGCCCCCTTGTGTGTCTCAAGGCCCCCTCTCAAGTGTGCCTTTGAGGACTTCCCACATCCCTCAGGGCCCCATGACTTGGCAACACAGGAATGATGGTCATATCCCGGGGCGGGGGGGGGACTCCTTCTCCACCCCCAACCTCCAGCATCTCTGTACTTCTTACTCCCAGCTGCTGGATGGGAGCAGGCGCCTGGGGCTGTTTCCTGCCAGCCTGCAAAGTCCCAGGAGAGCTCCCAGCACCCCTCCTCCAGAAGAGGATCCCAGCAGGCCCCAGAGGAGGTTCCCAGGCAGCTGTATTCCAGCTGTGCAGCTAGCCCTGTAGCTGCCCGGGGCGGGGGCGGGGGCGGGGGGGGGCAGGCAGGATTCCTATACTAATTCCTCCCATAAGTATCAGCTGCAGCCCTAGGGTGATCTGAGCTCAGAAGGCATCCTGGAAACCTCAGACAAGGCCCAGCTCCTCCCCATGCCCTGTACCCTGGGAGTCCCAGAGGAGAGGGGTACAGAGCCCCACAGTTCTCAGTGACAGGAAGTCCGTCCAGCTCCACACCACTCAGAGCCTGAGGAGGGTCCAGCAACGCCCTCCACCAGGCCCCCACCTAGAAGCCGCTCATCCACGACCCAAGATGCTTGGCCACCACTGTGGCTGGGCAGGTCCCCCAGCAACCAAAAGGGGTACATCAGCAAGAAGGGCAAACACTTCCTACTCTGCCTGTGAAGAAGCTCCCTGGAGACCCCTGTCCACTCTGGAAGTTTCTCAGCAAAGTCCAGGCCCCTCCAAGAAAGGCAGCTCCCAGTGGACCAAGCCTGACAAACCCGCCCCAACCCCAGACCCCTGTGGGGGACCCAGACACCGGCCTGCACCCTGGCAAGCTGTCAGCTCCCGGGGATTCCTGGTACAAAAAAGCCACCAAAAAGAGCCAGGTGTGTGCAGGTAACTGGGGCAGAGTGTGCATTTCTTGCTGGGAGCCATAGTCAAAAGAAAGAGAGAGAGAGGCCAAACACCAGCGTTGAGAAAACCACTTCCAGCGATGGGGATTGGCCAGGAGGTGGGCACCAGCACCGAGAGAGCCGGAGGCCGCCTGGGGCCCGCCTGAGTGCGTGGTGTTGGGGGTGCCGGGCAGAGGGGCCGTGAGGTCCCAGCAGCCTCCTGCCAGGCTGTGCACACCATGCCCAGGAGCCCTGGCATCAGACCCCGAAGAGACCTTTAAAATAAGCCAATGCCACAAATCAAGACTTCTGGAGCCCGGAGCACACGCAGGGAAGGCTCCTGGGAAGAGCTCCAGTGTAGCAGGGGGGTGGGCTGAGGGCCGGGGCAAGGCTGGGGGCACCCCTCCGGAACTTCCCACAGCCAGCAGCTTAAGGCCACTCTCAGAGGCCACAGCCTGTCCCAGGAAGGCGCCCCTCTCTTTGCATGCTGTTCACCCATCACCAGCGGGCCTTCCTGCCATCCAGCACCTCAGGGAAGGCGTCATCGGCAGATGGGGAGACCAGAGACAGGGGGAGGTGTGCCCCAGCCCCAGGCCCCTCACAGGGGAGCCCACAGCAGGGAGGGGGCAGTGGGCACTCCCCAGGCCTGGCCCGGCCCACCCTGGACCAGCCCCCAGGGACACCCTTCTCCAGGACGTCCGGGGGCCTGGGTGAGCCAGAGGGCTCCCAGAAGCGCTCCCCGCAGCCCCCAGAGGGCAGCAGCTGGGGGCTGCAACCCCGTCAGACTCGTCTGGAAGCACATTACAACACTTCCCACATCTGTTTCCACTTCCCGACCCGGAGAAACTGCGGAGTAGCTGCCTCGTTCCCTGCGGACGCCCGGACATGTGAGAGTGTGTGCCCGGAGGGCCCCCCGGGCCTGGCGGGCCGCCCTGCCACATAGCAACAAGGCAAGCAGGAATGAGGCCACTCCGAGCCTGCCACGCCCACTCCCTGTCTCCAGGGTGGAAACGAGGGGGGTCCTGCCCCCAGCCCCCCAGAGAATGACCACCACACGGCCTCCCAGACACAGCAGCCCCGTGCTCTTGGCCCCTGCGTTCAGAGCCAGCCAGGAGAGGGGCGGGGGGGGGGGGGACTGAGCGCTGAGTGCTCAACACCAGACCCTGGCCAGCAGCCCCCCAACCCTCCACCTCAGTGGGCACCTGGCACCATCCCCCCGCTCCCTGGTAACCCTCCATGCTTGCAAGGACAGCAGGCTGTGGCCAGGGCACCTCCAGCAAGTCTACTTCCCATGGAAAAAAGGCCCTGCAGAGGAAGTGAGGGTTGGGGTCCTGCTTCTCAGCTACTTCTTCCCCACCTGCCACAGCCCAGCCCCCTATGCTTCCCAAGGCTGGGGTGGGTGAGCCTGGGCCCTGGAACCCCAGCTCTGCAGGCCAAGAGTGGCTTCAAGCTGGTCCTGCCCCTGCCCTCACCAGCCTCTCCTGCCACCCAGCAAGCACCCAAGGCGCTCCCGAATTTGGTCCCTGGGCCTGGGACCCTGCTGACCCACCACCACAGTTTCGGCTGAGAAGGCCCTCTATAGTGCGGTGGCCCAGGGGCTCCTCCCGAAGAAAGGCACCCCAGGAACATGGCCTCAGCATCCCAGGGTCACAGCGTTCAGCCTCAGCATGGGGGAGCCCTGCCCCATAATAGGCCGGCGAGAACCCCAAGGAGCTGCACACACTCAGCAGGATGGAGCCACTGAGCAGACAAGCCCTCTAGGGTCTCCTAGTCCAGGAGGACAGGGGCCCCATCCCCAGCCCGGTGGGCACAGCCAGGAGAGTGGGGGCACTGCCGAGGCCAGGAGCCCAGGCAGGGAGGTAGCACGGGGCCCGGGATGGAGCCAGCCACACCCAGGGCTGCCGGGTGCTTACCCAAGCAGGTCCTGCCGTCCGCATGGAGCCGGAATCCGGGCTTGCACTCGCAGAGATAGGAGCCTGGTGTGTTCACACATCTGTGCTGACAGCCGCCGTTGTGCATTTGGCACTCATCTACATCTGGACAGGGACACAGGGCCAAGGGTTAACCGCCCCAGGGACCCCGATCCGGGCCCCCTCACTGAGGACATGGAACCCCGCCCAGGTGCCCAAGCTCTGAGCTCCGGGCCCACGCTAGCCAGAGCAGAGTGGGGAGAAGGAGGAACCTGCCCCTCATACCTGGCCAGCCTGCTCGGGGGCCGGGGCCGCCACCTTGGGGGTGGCCAGAATGTGGGGAGCCCTGGGGGTCAGAGAGAATGCAGGGAGCGGCGGTCTGAACAATGCAAGGGCTGCAGAGGGCACTGGGCTGAGGTGGGGAGAGGCCCAGCTCCTCACGCCTTTCAAGACTGAACTTGGAGCTCACGCTCGATTCCAAAGTCCAAATCCAGAAATACTCTCAGGACGGTGTCAGCCGTTTCTCTGGGACCCATGAGCCCAAAAGGAAAAACCAGTAACTCATGAGATGCCCTTGCCCAGGCTTTGGCAGGGGGTAGGAGGGCTGAACAATGTCCACCAGATTAACATCCATCCAGAGCGTCAGAATGTGACCTTAAGATGCAGATGTAATTAGTTATCTGTGCTAAATAAGGGGGGGGTCCCTAAATTCAGCAACTGGGGTCCTCATAGAAGACACACGGGGAGGCAGAGGTTGGAATGAGGTGGCCACAGCCAAGGAACAAGGGGGGGCCACGCGAGGCTGGAAGGACAAGAGAAGGAAGGGTCAGAGGGAGCTGCTGACACCTTGATGTTGAACTTCCAGCCTCCAAAACAGTCAGAGAATAAATGTCTACTGTTGTATTTGTCCCGGGGAACTAACGCGGGTGATGTCTGCCTGGGTCCCCCCGGGGCCTCCCAATGCCAGGGGAACGGGAGACCACCAGCAGCAGCCCCCAGACAGGACCCAGGCACTTCCGGGAGAACACCCCCCATCTGAGGCCACCGACCACCAGGGCAGGACACCCGTGCCCACCGCACCTCAGGCCCCAGGGAACGTGCTGACCAGAAGTGGATGAGGCCAGCCCAAAGGCCCTGGGTAGCCTCCCCAGGAGCCCAGCTGAGAACTGGAGAGGGAGAAAGACCCTCCCTAGAGCTGGAGGCCCGCGGGCCTGCGCCCCAGGAGGGTCACCTCCTCCAGCAGGGATGCAGAGGCACACGGAAGGTGGGGGCTGCCCTCACCTCTCACCCCTCCCTCCAGACTTCCGTCCACCAACCTGGGCCCCCGGGGAGGCTGGGCAGCGACTGAGGTGGTTGGAACGGGCTGCTGAGACACCTGTGTGCGTGGTGAACACCTGTGTGTGAGGGACACAACTGTCCGCGAGACACGGAGACCAAGGGGGGAGCCACTGCAGACATGGGGGGGCCCTGGCGCACCAGGCACGGGGACGGAAGCCCAGGCCCGGGCCTCGGGCCAGTCCACACTCTTCAGATACCAGCCTCACCAACAGAGTAGCCGGCCTCCCTAACCACAAAAGCAGGGAGACAGACACGTAGACGCTCCACTCCAACATCTACAAGCCACGACTCCATCCTCCGGTTCCCATCCGTGAAAATGCCCAGCTCCCATGCTTCCATCCTAAAATGCAGGCTGTCTGAGCCCACTTGTGAAGGGTGTCAAAGGTGGGCCACAGGGCGAGGCTCCCCCCGCCATCCCCAATGCCTGCCCATGAGCTTATGCTTCCCACACGCACGGGAACTGTGCCTCCAGCCCGTGCGCTGAGAATGGACCTGGCGCCCCAGAAATGACACCAGACCAATCCCAGGAGGCCAGGGCCTCTGCACACACAGGCCAGGTCCACTCCGGGGAGACCCCCGGGGCCCTGACAAGCGCCTCAGAGAGAAGACCAAAGACCCAGGGAGGCTCTCTTCTGCCCGTGGCAGCCTGGAGCTCTCTCAGAATGGAGCCGGGAGATTCTGGGGAAGAAGCCTAAAGGCAGAGGCCAAAGGCCCCCAGCAGAGCCACCAAGAGGGTGGGGGACAGAGGGACCCAGGGCCCTCCTGTGGGAGAGTCAGCTGGGTGGGGAGTGGATGGAAGGGGAGGGCGGGCAGCACCCACCCACGGGGGCTCAGAAAGAGGTAAAGACGAGACCGCAGGGGACACAGCCCTGGGCACACAGTAGGTGCTTAGCGAAGCTTTGGGGAAGATGTGCCAGGTGTGTGCTGTCTGGGGGGGATGGACGGCAGCTGCAGTGTCCAGACCAGCCCTGCCAGGCGTCCTTCTGGCACTCTGCTGTGCTCCTGACGTGGCCCTGGGGCCGGATGCACAGGCATGCAGGGGCGCTGCTTCTGGAAACCCTGCTCTCCGCCGGCAGCCCCACATTCACACTCGGCTCACTCCAGACCCCCATCGAGGAGAGAGGCTGGCTCAGGCAGCGCTACACCCCTGAGCTGCTCGGACCCCTGGCTGGGGGGCCAAGCCCACCTGGAGGACCACATCCTCCAGCAGCTCCCGGGCAGGTCTGAGCAAGCCGTCCAAGGACGCAAGGGGAGCCCCGGACAGCATCAGCCCCTCAGCCAGCCCAGCAGGCCTGTGGGCCGCAAGGACACCAAATGGACAGACAATCTGGGAGGAAGCACTCGGGGAATGCAGGGGCAGGAGGCTGCCGTCAGCCAGCAGGGCCCCTCCAGCTGGGCTGCCCTGACAGCTGGGGCCTCCTGCCCTGGCTCACACCCCCTGCCCACATGACCACTGTTCTGGCCCCCCTGCTGCCCATACAGGAACATTCAGACTCAAGCGTCCACACCGGTGGACAGAAATGCTGCTCCTTGCTAAGATGCGCAGGGCCAGGTCTGCAAGCCATCTCCCACGGCGCCCCTCTCGGGAGGGGCTGATGCGCTGACCGCAGCCCCACGCTCTCCCCTGGCCCCTGGGGCTGCACTGCCTGGTGATCGGCAACCTGCCCCTGGCGGGGACAGGACCTGTAAGCGGCAGCCCGGAAGGTGCAATGACGCTCAGCCCCCACGTCCAGCACCACCGAGTGCTGTCATCCCGTGTGGGTATCTGGACACGGCGGGCAGCTCAAGGCTGAAGGACCTGAGGCCTCCCCCTTCACCTCTCTGGGCAAGGGAAGCCTGCTGAAGGGAAGCCTGCTGAAGGGCAGCGGGGCATTTGGCCACCTGACCTCCTGCTGGGGCCCCTTCACAGAGGAGACAGACACTCAGGCAGCAAGGCAGGACCCAGTTCCCTACCCCTGCCTGCCCCACTCCAGAGGCAGCCACGTGGGGGCAGAACAGAGCTGTCCTCAGCCAACTCCAACCACCTGGAGCTGCTGACCCTGTGACCGTGGCCATGGCCATGGCTGTGACCTGACAGCCATAGGCTCAGTGATCTGAGTGGGGTCAGCTGAATAATGGCCCTCCAAAGGGTTCACATCCTAATCCCTAGAGTCCCACCAGCAAAAGGGACTCTGCAGGTGGGCTTACATTAAGGATCTCGAGGTGGGCCCAGTGTCATCACAGGGCCCTTAAAGGAGGGGGCAGGAGGTCAGGGAGAAAGAGATGGGAAGACACGGGGCCTCTGGCTAGCCCAACCTCCTGACTCCCCCAGTGAGGTCCACTGTGCTCTCTGGGGGCTGGATGCCCTCCCCGGGGCCTGTCCTGCAGGCCTGCTCTCTCCGGCTGAGCCAACTTGCCTACACCCAGTGCTTCCTGCTGTGGGACCAGTGCCCTGAGACCCCAAACGGCAGGGCCCCAACTGAGCATTGACACCTTAGGTCCTGGAACTACAGAGAAAACATCACTCTCCCAGACAGCACAGAGGGGGGCCTGGGTCCCACCCCCCGACCCCAAGCTGAAAGAGAGCTTGAAGGTCCCGAGTCTCCCATGCTGATGCAATGGAACCAGTCATAATAGCCGGGTGCAAACCCCCTCTGCCCTCTCCAGCCCAAAGCCCAGCCACCACACGTCCGATGCAGCTCACGCCGGCACGGGGAGGAGCCAGGAGCAGGCGGGTCCAAGCCGACACCGGGCTGACTCCCCAGGTCGTGCTTTGGGCAGCCTATCTCGATGCTGCTGGGAGCCCATGGAGGCTCCACCAGCTCCCGGGCCAGGGGCTCATGCCAGGGTCCATAAGCTGCCCCTGCAGACACCACCCAATCAGCCCCTTCTGAAGCCTCACCCATGCTTCCACGGAAACCTGAGCCCTCTGGGACGCTGCCAGGAAGCCCACTCACGTGGTTATCAAGTTCAGAATCCTGCTCTCCCCTGAACATGCCACAGGGTCCTCATGCCCAGAGATGGCACCCCGTCATCCACAGGCCCTCGTCCTCTCCTTTCCACAAGGCCACACAGGCCCCAGAGCAGGGTGGGGGCTCCCCAAAGCCCAGCCCCACACAGCCCCCCTCTGGAGGCTACACAGCCTCACAGCACTTACACCACAGCGGCCTGGCCTTGGCTGAGCCACCGAGTCGGGGTGTTGCCCACCCCGTGGGGACCCAGCCTGAGACCCAGCTGGGATGGCTCAGGGACAGCAGAGCAGGGCCAGTACCTCCAAGAAGACCAGGTGCCCTGCGCAGAGCCACACTCAGGGGCCAGGGACAACCTGGAGGGGAGTGCCCCGCCCAGTGCTGTGACCCAGGTGCTGACTCCCCGGGCACCGCCTCCCATTCCCGAGGATGACCGGCCCCAAGCTCTAAGGAGCTCCTGCGGGAGGCTGGCCCAGCGTGGGTAGCAGATCTACAGTGCAGGGACAGGTGGGATGGACCCGGACAAGGGTGTATCCGCTTTCCATGAACTGCTGGGGTCCTCCCGGCTCACCCTGCAGTCCACTGGGCTGACCACACCCCCAAGGCTTGGTGAAGGTGACGGAAAGGATAGCACCTGCCACATCCACACGTGACCCCCAAGGGGCCGGGCTCTGGGGACCCTGGAATGGCAGACTTTGCTTAGGGACCCCAGAGGGCTCTCTCTTGAGCCTGCCTTCTTGCTTGCCCCCCCACAGAGCGGCCAGTGCAGGGCAAATGCCCCCCCCCACCCCCCGTGCCACAGGCAAAGGCAAGGGCCTGTTTCTCTTCCCTCTGGTCAAGAGGCCATTCAGCTGTCAGCAGACCCCGCAGCCAGACCAGAGAGGGGACAGAAGGTCGGATGACTCAGGGAGGAAGGGTCCTGTCCCAGAGGAAGCGGCGGCCAGCGGCACTGCCCCCGCCCTGCTCCCTCCAGCCCCCGCTCGCTCTGTCAGCCGCCTGGGCGGCTAGCTTCAAAAAGAGGTGCAAAGGGGACCCGCGGCGGAGCGGGGCGCCCGCCCCCCGCCCCACACCCTCGCAGGGTCCGCCCGGCGCCCACCTGGCCTCCGGTCACCGGCGCTCACGGAGTAGCCGGCCTGGCCCAGGTGGCACGTGTAGCAGCCCCTCCAGAGGTAGCGGTAGTGCGTGCCCGCGACGCACGCCAGGCCCCCCAGGAGCCCGAGGCACCAGAGCGCCGCCAGCCTCCCGCGGCCGCGGGACGCTCCCATAGCCGGCCAGCCAGCAGCGCG